TTGGAGCGTGCGCATGGTTTTGGCAATCGCTTGTCTTTCTCAGTCCGAGTCGAGAGGTGACACCCACTACTCTGATGCCGTCGGACACATGAATGCTGCGCTAGAAAACGCCGAAGACGTGCTACATCCGGGCTACGTCTCCAGCATTCAGGCTTTGATTCTCTGGACTATTTACGCTACTATGGACCCGCATCATTTCGATAGTTGGACACTGGTGGGCGCAGCTTCCAGAGCGATGGTCGATCTTGGTATACATCAAGATCCATCCAAGAATGTTGCAATGTCAAGAGCGAAGCTCGAGATCAGGAGGAGAGTGTACTGGTGTGTTTACTCTCTAGACAGGTAAGACCGCATCTCATTCTCTCTCTCTCTCTCTCTCTCTCTCTCTCTCTCTCTCTCTCTCTTTCTCTCTCTCTTTCTCTCTCTGCTTGCTAATCATATGGTAGATCAACATCACTCGTCCAGACTCGCGCCTTTTCATTCTCAGACGAGGCTGCACACGTCGGCTTTCCATTTTATAATGCCTCAGTTTCACCAAAATTTGCCTCGCCCACATCCCAGGTCTTCCAACAGTCTTTTGACACCGCGGTTGATCTCTTCAGAATACGAGAGATACAATCGGAGTGGTATATGGATCTCTTCCAATCTGGTCGCGAGCCTTGGCAAGAACCCTACCAATATATCTGGAAGCAATATAACAGGATGTCGGAGTGGTTTCAGGATATGCCACAGAGCACTTTACCCGCCGTAAAGTCCTTCTTCGAGCTCGAGCTTCTTTACAGCTATGTCTATATTCTCTCACCAAGCCCGCGGATACCCCACATCCACGAGTATGCGCAACGGCTGATCTTCGAGCATTGTATTGCATATGCTACCAATCTGCTGGCCGTACTGGACAAGCCGTCACACACGGTCAAACCTCCCGTCACCTTCTACGACGCGATGCGTGCGTACATGACCGGCCGACAATTTGTCGATGTTCTGTCGCGCAACATGGAAATGATTCTTGACCCAAGACCGCCAGTACCACCAACCCCACTGGCCCCTCAAACGGAATCGGAAGATCCGCTCGCACCACCCGCGCAGATCAGCGCGCCATCTTTCCCGTCGCCACTGCTACCAGAGGGGCAGACTTCGCCGTTGGATCCTACAAACCGGGCGATAAACGCTATACACGACTACACGTCAGTGCTCTCCAAGTTCGGACTGAGATTCGGCTTTACCCATTGGCGCGATCGCTTCCAACGAGAGTCAGCCGCTCTCTCCGCTCAGCTCTACCAACGCCAGCAAACGTCACCGCACACCTCGCCTCCAGTACAGCAACTCCCACCGCCCGTTGATTACCCTCCGCAATGGCTACCGATGCCGTCTGTGTCACCGCAAGCGCCAAATCTGATGTACCCCGGCGGCCCAACCACACCACCCAGTCTCTTCCCGCAATCAAGTCCTTTCGCCAGCTCAATGTCCTACACCGGCACTTCGTATGACGGATCTGGGCATAGTCCGCAACCGCACGGTATGACCTTCGATGCAAGCCCAGGTCAACAAACATGGGCTACCCCATCACCTCAGCCGGTACCAGAGTTGCCGCAACCTTCCGGGGGCCAGAAGAGAAGGGCGATGGTATATGGACCAGGACTTCCGGCGCCGCATCAAGGACAGGGTCATAGTCCTGGTGCGTCGTCGATATCAGGGCAGGATAGCAATGGATGGGCGCAACAGGAGCAACAGCAACAACAACAACAAGATCCAAACAGCTACTTCCAAGTACCGTCTTTACAGCAGCAGCATAGCAATTCGTGGACGCAGGATCCGTCGCAAGGGAATTGGGGGTGATAGCGATGACCTATCCTCTCAATAAGCAGTAGATAGATCATAGCAATCTGTTACAAATGAACACCAGTGTACAGTATAATGCATATTGACTACAGATATTCGCGGTGGACTGATGTACATTGTCCGATGTCTTCTAGCCACTAATCCATGCTTTCAATGGGTCGCCACATGAGAGGTTCTTTCCTTGGCTCTTTCTCCGCACCCTCTGCACGGTGAATGGGAGTAACCACCGAACAGAGGCCATGAGCCTCTGAAGGCTTGGTATCACACAAGAGGCAGTCTTGCAACTCCATCCATGTGCGCACCACGTGATCTCTACCTGACCTCTCTATGAACCGCATGATGTGCCAATTGGTACCATCCGCATGTTTTGCGCCGTGACATACGCTCATGTGCTGCTGAAACTTTGCCTTGTCGGCATAAATTTGTAGGCTGCAAGCTCGTAGATTGTGGCTCCTTGCGTGCTCTCTCAATTCTGACAGATACATTTGACTTGGCTCTTCATGCCTGGGAAAAAGTTTCTGGAAATCGCATAGACGACACTGTGATCTCTGCCAACGGGACGATGAGACAAAAAAGTTCGTTGTGGTTCTGAAAAGTGCATGCCAATCATGGAGATAACGGCACGAATAGCTTGCGCACGCCGGGTGCTTCTGAGCAGCCACTTCGATACTTGGAAAGCTAGCGCAGCAAGCGGAACAAGTGTACCCGGCGCTATTGCCGTGTTAGTACAAAAGTCAGCCCCTGGACTAGATGACTTACTCTGAGAAACTTGTAGGTACGACTGGTAGCCTGCCCGGCCACCACGACCATTTACATATGCTGTGTCTCAGGTGGTCAAAGACATGGTCTTGTCGTTGTTCCCAAGTAGCGAATGTCATACCACAGAAACCGCAGTGCAAAGACGACACTGGTAGAGAAGGATTCAAGATCTTCCATGCCGAGAGAAGAACCTTGGGAACGGGTAACTTGGGGCTAGTCTTGTTGATGTGAACTCTCTTCATGTGCTGTGCCAATTGATCTTCTCGCAAGAATGTCCGAGCTTCTTCCGCATCTGTCGAACAGTTCTCAAAGTGACATTCTGTCAGATGACTCAAGAGGACGTCTACTTCACCACAAACGAAGCAATGTGGCAACCGCATGACGATTTTCATGTCCAGACAGCATATCCATTGGTAAGGCTCATGATGAACTGCTTCTTCGTGCCTCGTCCATTCAGATCGGTATCGAAACGTCTTGTCGCAATCGGCTGATGTACAAAAATATGGAGCTTCAGCATTCGAGATTAAGCTTAGCTCTTCGTTATTCGACTGATGCAAATTTGGCGACGAATACCTCCGTCTCACCGCCGCAGGCATTGGTAGTGGTTGTCCCCAACGTTTACGCCCTCGACGGGAAGCCCTTGAGCTGACCGAGATCCGACTGTGTAAACTTCCATAACTATTGCCAGAATCAGCTGAGGCATCGGAGCCCACCACACTCGATTGTTCTCGGTGGGTCCAGGTATCTGCTTCGACGTGGAAAGCTTGGGTCTCCGGTTCTCTCAGAAAGCGTTTCATACTGCATTCCGCACAGGAGGAAGGGAGTCCAACACAAGAAGGGATTTCCACTTGGCAAACATCGCAGAGGGATAGAGCGAGATTGTTAAGCGTAGGCAGCCGCGGCAGAGCGAGATGATACGGACCAGGCGAAGTCCTGGATATACTGTCTTGTAATGCAGCCTCGATGTTTGCGGTCGGAATGGCTTCTTCGCCCGTCGGTGCTGCTAGATATCTTTCGAGGGAGCAGGAGCTAGGAACAGGAGAACATCGATCAGGGTCAACAAGCTCGTTGACAAAGAGACTTCTCGGCGACACGGGTTGTGGCAAGCTATCTGTACAATCATGGCTCAAGGCCATAGGGTCGACGGACGAATTTGAAAGAGCTGCGGCGTTATCTTTGTCAGATATTGGGTCTCCTAGAGGAAATATGACATTGTCTCACTTACGGTGTAATACCTGTTTGCGCGATCTTGCGTTCATGAACCATCTCTTAATTACTTGTACTACAAGTCCAGACTTGCCAGATAACAGAGCCAGCTCGCCATCGGTAGGATAAGGATTGACGGTGAAGTGCGCGTCCAACATGAGGCGGATGTCGCTCGAGATCTTGGTTCTCTTGAACTTCTTCCTGTTCATTGTTGAACGCTTCGCGGGCGTGTCTGAACCAGATATCTTGGGAGATTTTTCTACGCTGGATTCGAGCGAAATCTGCTCCAATGGACAAGGGCATTCGTGGGTCGCTGCTTGAACTCTTGTCAATTCCTGGTTGGCAGCCACCGAGTGCGAAGCTCCTAAGAATGATCCATCAATCAGATCCAATGAAGAACCCAACTGGTCGAATGAAGACCCGTAATGGTTCGAGATACCCGGTGCTGATTCGATTGTGTTCACAGGAGCATCGCATCCGGAGTCGACTTTGTCATCCGCCATAAAACCTGACAGCCATGAGTCGTCGAAAAGTGGCACAAAATCATCATCTTCTGGTGGCAGGAAGTCGTCTATTGTGTCGGGTGCGAAGGAGCCACTGATGGCCCACAAGTCATCAGGCGTACTCCAGTCCTGCGACATGGGCCAGGAAACTTCGGGGTCGGAGACGTGTGTACAGGTGAAAAGACAATCCAGCTACGTTGAAATCACAAGAAAGGAGTATAGATGACATGGTGGAAGTAGCTGGGGCGCTGCGATAATATGGCATGAGGCTGAGAAACAAGGTGAGCGCGTTGATTTTCGAGGTTAGGGAAGGCGGAGCAGGGGGTGTTGTCGTTGCCCAATCAGCTCAGGCCACCGCATCTACACATGCAAGGCAGAGAACTAGGGCGAGGAGGACGCAGTCTCGGCGCAGTAGTGTTGCAGAGGAAGCGGTAGGGGAGTTGATCGATTGAGGTGATGTCGCGAAGGATGGGCACGACGCGCACGCACACGCGTTCTGGCTGGGGATCGCCAGGGCAAGCAGGGTCGACCCCCACTTGACGCGGGGCATCCGCCGCTATCTCTGCGCAACACGCATCAACCAATCTAACACCAGACGAAATGCCTTACATCACTCCCGTGCACGCATCGCAACATCGCGCAACACCTCCCCAACCCTCAAAACCACCCTAACCATTCTGACCAACCACCACGATGTCCACCCCCCTCGAGCGCGCCCTAACAGCCATCGACGCAGCCCACGCGGAAGACCCAAATAAAGTCACCATCAATGGCACCGAGATGCCCTACGAACTCCACTACGCGCAGAAATGCACCTCCTACCTCGAGAAACGCGCCCCCTCCGCCTCCGAGCCCCTCCGCCTCGCCATCCGCGCCCAACACTTCCGGCGCTGGGAAGTGCCTCGCGCGAGCTACCCCATGACGCGCCCGGGCTACCACGCCTGGCGCACGTTCCTAAAAAAACGACAAGCGGAACTCGTCGAACAAATCTGCGTCGATGCCGGATACACCACTGAAGACGCGTCGACAGTAGGCAGTTTGATCCGCAAAGAAGACCTGAAAGTGAACGAGGAGACGATGGTGCTGGAGGATGTGGCGTGTCTTGTTTTTCTGGACGACCAGTTTGAGGCGTTTGAGAAGGAACATGATGAGGAGAAGATTATTAAGATATTGCAGAAGACGTGGGGGAAGATGACGGAGAGGGGGCATGAGTTGGCGTTGGAGATTCCGATGGGGGAGAGGCCGAGGGGGGTTGTTATGAAGGCGCTGGAGGGGAATTGATGGTGGGGGTGGGATGGGATGAAATGAAAATTGAATTGAATTGAGCTTCGTGATGTCTTGTTCATTATGTGGGTGTGCCATTTGTTATGTTTGGGTATCGTTCTGAGCCTGTGATATCTTCTGCCCTCCTCCTCTTGTGGCCAATATGTCTACGGGTTGAAGCCTAAGCTCCACCCTCCCTCTTGGCGTACTCCTCCTCCATGGCCTCCTCGTACCGCTTCTCGGCTTCCTTCTCCTGTTCGGTTTTCTCGCCGTTGTTTGCATTCGCTAGAGCGCGTGTAGCAGCGTTCTGTATGTCGTTCTGAGCCTGCGCAGCAGCTGAAGATTGGGTCGCTGGGGTGGACTGTGAGGTTGCGGATGGCATTGGGACAGGCATCTTGTTGGTTGAGTTTGGTGGTGTTCGTAGGGTGTAGGATTTGACTATTCGGTTCGAGATTGAAATGTTGCTGGGATTGTGTGGAGGATGAGAAGGATTGGAGGAACGCGTGAGGGGGCTATATACTACTATACGGATGACTGTTGTTGCGTCATTGTGGCGGTGCGGGTGTGGCTGGAATCTTCCAAAGAACGTGATTCGCCACTGATCTTCGTTAGGCGACTTTTGCATGTGAAGACCGCTGGCAGATGCTGTTTGCACAATATGATGCGCTTTAACTCTAGGAGAGTTGTCTTCAAAATCATTGAAGAGCCATGCATTCAATGGCAAACCATGAAGTTGACGTGGTGGCATCGATATCGAAGGTCGCAATACAACAACCCTTTGTTTCTCTTACCACGACCAACGCTTGTTCAGTACTTATTGCTTACACTATTACTGATATTTTCAAATCGACATGGTTTCCTACACAAGCATTTTGCTTCTGCCTGTCATAATTTGCGTTTCGCTAGGAAATACCACTAGAACACTCTCTGAGTCTCTCAGGCCAACACCGACGCGGCTGCACTCCCATGGCCCTACATCCACCAGCTCACCCCACGTCATGGCGAAACAAGGCCATCCTACTGAAGGCCCCGCTTATTCAAGCTGGGCCCTAGCAGCAATCTCGTCTGCATCTCTCTCCACTACATCCCAGTGCCCGCCCCTCCATTCCCCATGCGGCAGTATCGGTTGCTACGATCCAAGCACAGAGCAATGCTGCGGCAAGAGGGGCATTTGCAAAATCACCCAAAACTGTGTCGAGGTCCAGCTACACAACGGCACGATGGCGGCAGGATGCTGTCCCGGTGGAACATCAGCTTGTGATGGCGTGTGCTTCGACGCATCCACCCACAAGTGCTGCGCTGCACCAGGCGGCACTCATGGGCTCTGCTCTGCGAATGAAGACTGCTGTGGGAGCATGTGCTGCGACGAAGGTGCGGTTTGTGCCAATGGGTTCAACGGTCCGATGTGCTGGCAAAAGCATGATAAAGGCACTGAGGAGATTGAGGGCCACGCCTTTATTCCACCAATTATTCCCGTTCCGAGTACGCAAAAGAGCGGTAGCGTGAGGATCAAAGCTCCCGGAATCTTCCACGCTCTGTTGTTCATGATCCAGTCTGTGGCTGGTAGTTCCGAGCAGGCCTTTCCCGCGACGCGCCTCCAATCGCCACCCATACCGCACGGAGCAGAAAACTCGTACATGGGCAATTTGACCTCATCCCTGAACAAGCGCTCATCTTGTGAGCCACTGGAACCTTGTGGCAACGGCTGTCAATATAAACCATCAAAGTGCTGCTTCCGGGAGGATGGTACGTCTGGGTCATGTAACGCAGGCGATGTGTGCTGTCAAGAGTACTGTTGTCCTTCCAATACCATATGTATGATTGCATCTGTGCCGCACAGTTCCGGACCATGGTGCTGGCCGCCAGATTTACCGAGAGCAACAGCGAACGTGCCATACGATCCGTTTCCTTGGCCTCACGATGTGGACGGGGCAGGCTTCAAGAACACTCGTATCAAGAACGGGTCCGCTGTAATGCGACCATCTGGTGTACTTTGCGTCATCATTTTCTTGCTGTCAATGCTGGTTGCAAGCTCCGCTCTGGAATCAGTGTCGATCAATCTCACTACAAAGACTGTGGACGGGCTGCCGATGACTGTTCCCATTACTATGCCGACAAACCCGCCGATCGAAGTGGATATTGACATTGACATGTCCCAAAAGAAAGGTGGCGGTGGTCATGGTGGAGGAGGTGGTGGCCATGGCGGTGGAGGTGGTGGCGGCGCAAAACCTGGTGGAGGTGCTCCTGGAGCCTCCCCTGGAGGTCATCGCAACACAGCAGCAAGGCCGGCCATCCCATGGCTCTTTCAATTTCTGGTCTGAAAGATGCCTTTCATGATGTCAGCTATTGTCCCGCGGTATCAGCAGCAGGCGAAACCTTCGAGTCAGATCTGAAGCATGTGCAATTCTCGTCACAGGTGTGTTTGGGCTGTCGTCTGAGATTGCGAGCGAAAGGGTAGCGGCGAGTGCGCATTGTCTTCTTTGTTTGTTCTTGCTGTGTACGATGAATGGGCACTGATACCATACAGATGTAAGGCTGTTGGTGAATTTGTTTAGCCAATTTGAAGGATGTAGATACTGGCCATCGTGTCAGTACAAACGAAGTGAAGCACGTGAAACTTTGCAAAGACATCGATAGGCTCAGACTTGCCTTTTTTAATATCGAATCAATGACACCAAATACGCAGGAGATATCCTGTCTATTGCTAGACAGGAATACCCCGAGGATAAACATCGGTGCCTCAACCGCTTGCTCGGTTTGTAATCATAGCCAAAGGGAAAGCGAGAACGAAAGAGTGACTGACCTTATTGACTTAGAACATGCGTGCCTTTCGTCTTGCCCGTCTCCATTTTGGCAGTGCGAGCGCCAAATTGTATGGCGCGCTTCCTCTCTGCAGCTACTCTTTTCATGCCCAAGTGCCATGCCAACAAACGAAGTGCCCGCTTCCCGGGCTCGAGCAGCCGTGCAGGGTCTTCGCTATCGGTGTTTTGCTCCAGGCCGAAATCGCATTTGGACATCACCGGAAGACGGAGGGCTAATGCGATGAAGTCTTCGTCGAGGTAGGGAAATCGAACTTCTCTACTGCTGTTGCTGATCACGCGATCATCGCGACCCAAGTTTCTCTTTCCCAGACGACTGAAGTCGAGTTCCAACTCTTCGATTAGGCCGGGGTACCCGCGTCGAGCAAAGGCTGTAGCGTGTCGTTGGTACCCACCGAACAACTCATCAGCACCGAGCCCGGAAAGGAGTACGTGCGCGGTAGCGGAGTATGGCTCAGCTTTGGTCGTGCCCGCAAACTGTGACAATCCGACCCCGCGTGACGCGAAGTAAAGTGCGTATGATATGGAAAGGTCCATTTCCGTGTTGTGGGGATGCATCAATGCCATGACGGTGCTGCGATGAGCTTGTGTCTCGGTGTAGGGTACGTTGACCTCGACGAAACGCCACTCACGTCCAGGACAGATCTCTACCAGCTCTGCAAGGGATGATCGTCCAGTGACACGGTCGGGACAGAGCTCGTAGGGACTGGCGTCTGGCTCGAGATTGGAGTGAATCCGAGGATTCTCAAACGCGACATTGAGTAGGTCGACAGGTTCGCTTAGTGGTAGGAGGTCGTGACACATGCGCGCGAGGATTGTGCAGTCCAGGCCACCAGAGAAAAGAACGGCTACGCGTGTTTCCCCCGAAACTCCAAGCTTCGATTCTCCAGTCACTGCCTCACGTATGTGTTGAGTGCGCAGTTGGAGTGATCTTTCCAACGACGCCCTTAGCTGTTCTACTGCCCCAGCATCCTGTGAAGCAGAGTTACTGTCGATAGTCTGGTTCATGGCTGGGAACGGCAGAGTCTGAATCTGTTAGCAGAAGTCGTGTGCCAGATGACTTACCTACGAAAGACAACTCAGAGTCCTCTTCTTGATCTGAGCGGCGATGCGGAACTCTCGTTACTGGGAACGAGTCTGACGTTGGGTCTGCCAGCTCTACGTCTACAACATAGATACCATCGGCTTCCACCTCGGCCCAAGACTCACCAGAGGCATTATCGCACACGCTAGAGAGTACAAGGGTGCCATCAAGAGTAGACTTTTGGAGCAGCGATCGCCTTCCTAGGCAGTCGCGTCCGTAGTAGATTCTTTGGTGCGATGCATCGTAAAATACGAGAGCATATGGGCCTCGCACGACTGACAGCAGCTCGATGACACGTCGCATAGACGCCTCGCGCGTTCCAGTACATGCGTCTAGAAGTTTGGTAAAGACTAGCTTAGAGTCATTACCATCAATTGCCTGTCCGGCAATGCTCCATGCCTCGCCGTTCCAGCAGAGGACGGAGCCGGTCGTATCATCCCTAAGTGGCTGCTCAACGATGTCGTTGCCGCGGAGAGCAAGAACCGTCGACAGAAAAGTCGCGTGAAGACGCGTTGAGATCCCCTTGGCGTTGGATTCGATGCTGATCTGGTGCTGCCCTGTGCTGTCTGGCCCTCTATTCCGGAGCAGTCGCTGGGTGTTGGTGTCAGGTATCACGTGTCCAGTCCGACTGAGCGAGAAGAAGATGCCGCACATGGCTGGGCTGATGAAATGGCGACGCAGGTGTGGTGTTGGCAGTGGCACGGCTGCAGTTGCTTGACGCGCTAGCGGCGGTGGCTCGGAGACTCGGCTTCTAGATGCCGGGAGACCATGCGGACGATTCACACACGCAGGCGCAGCAGACGTCAATCACCAAGCACTTGACTTATATTCTCCCTGCGAGAGCTGTTGCAAGCTCTATTCCAGACCCATGGACGCTTGATCAACCACGCACAACCCACCCATAATCCCCTGTCGCACTCGGTCTATGTCTCCCCCGAACGCAACTCCGCAACCCGATGCAGCCCACGACAGCCACGCCGAAAGGGAGCTAGATAAGGCGGACGACCAGCACGATGTAGCCACGAGCAACCAGAGGGCGCCTTCCGTAGGGCAGCCTACAGAGTCTGAAGCACCGACGGATGACGCGAACACGGCGACGGACGCGGGGCAGCCTA